CTGCTGAATAGCTGATGACAAGAGCCTCTTACTATCAGAGAAGTTGGCCTAGACCCTTGGTCTTCTTGAAACAATCTTTTACCCTTTAGAGACAGACACCCAATATGGTCCTTGTAGGAACAGCAAGCATTACAAGCAGAAAATTCACCTCGATATCGGAACACTCCAAACCAGCCTTCTCACTGTATCTCAGGAAGTCCTGGCAAGGAGGGGAAGCAGGGAAGGGTGTGGGGAGGGGTGAAATCAGTTAATAAAAATAGCCAGAGAACTATAAAATCATATCATAAAAACGCAGTAACACCAAGACTTTCCTGCCCAGCAGAGGAGGTCATGGCTTGCAGTAGCTGAGAAGTGGCATTGTGGTTATGTGAGACATACTAAGTTGTTGAGAAAGTCATGACTTATTTTCTATGTTTTTCTATGCAAAAATGTGTCATGACTTTCCTGATGACCCAATATAACACAGAGAAAAGCCCTAGAATAGTGAAAACTTCAAAGCCATGGGTGAAGAGAGAGCAGACGATAGGGAGAAAGGAAAGAGGGATTATGAAAAGAAAGTATGGGAGAAAGGAAAGGTAGGTCTCGCTTCTGTTTAGCCTCAGATTTCCATAAAAGGAATCAAGTTAAACCATTATTGAAAAATAAAACATCGAAAAAATTTTAGGCATTACTCATCTAACGTTTTTAGAGGAGCTTTGCCTTTCCCTCTCTTTCTCTTTTGTATTTCACTCTGACTTTATGCTCTTATTATTATTATTTTTTAAAGGTATCGAATCAGTGATCACGACAAAGAAAGAGTGAATTGATAACTGAAAATGAAATAACAACATGGAGGGTGGGAAGAACAGCTATGCAATGTTATCTGGAGGCTAAGTTTAACGGTAACCAGCAGACGAGCTAAAAGCCTGCCCCAGCTCACAGCCCCATGGGACACACGATGGAGACGGCTCAGAGCCTGGGGAGACGCTTCTCCAGCCTGACCCACACTCCCTGCTGCTTACCTTGAGGAGTAACTGGTATTTTGTTATTCTCTGAATGGGCTTTATAAGGAAGTCGCTGAGTGTCAGCCTTTGATTTATTTCCTGTTTTACCTCCTGAAACACAAGAGAGCTATGTCAGAAAAAAAAAAAAAAAAAGGAGCCAAAGAACTAGGGTGTTCTAGATCAGGGTTCAAAGGCACCAAGGACGGGCTTACATGTTTTCCCGCAAAGTTAGAGAATTTTCAAGCCAGGTGAGAGGTGGCGTTACCTAGGTGACTGCCTATTCGTGGTGAAGGACACATCTCGCACACCATTATCTGCTTGCCTGTGCGCTGACAATGAGCACCTCCACACTTCAGTCCTCCCCAGACCCTCTTTCTGTCCTGGGAGATGAGCTGGAACGAGCATTCTGCTCTCTCTATTGCTCTGGGCCCAAGCTAGGAAAGAAGGGCTGCTTCTCCTAGGACATGGCGAGCCCTTGGAGCTGGGCCCTCAACTCAGATCTCCAAACAGTTGACGGCTCTTCCCAAGTGATGGTGTTTGTCTTGCCACCAACAAGATAAATCCTCATAGGCTGGGACAAAATACACACTCTGAAGTGCTTAACACAACCTCTGGGAATAGGAGCAGATGCTGGGAAGTGACTGCAGACCCCTAATGTGAGAGAAGGGTCCTTGGCACAAGGTGTCCTGTGGACTGGTGAGGATAGTGCAGGCACTGTCTGCTCTGGGGTCACTTCAGAAGGGCCAGGGTTTATGAAACAGTCCTGTGATACAGGATCATTCTGCAAATGGAGGCTTCTCCAAGCAGTCAGGGCCACCTCAGCACCTCTCAGGCAAAGGTGGTCATGCGAACTTCACTAAGCAGCTTGCTCTGTCAAGGCAGCCATTCTTGTCCTGAATAGGCCAACAGCGCCGTGTGTGGGTCACTTGTGGATAGATGATGTCTGATGTTTCCGGATGTGGCTGCCATGGCCTGTGTCGCAACCCCTACCCCCCACTCCTTCCCGTTCTGTGAAGCTTCAGCAGCTTACCTCAAAGTAGGTGTCATATTCAGCCACGATATATTCGGAGCGTGGCTTGTTCTGGCAGTACCACACGTAGATGTGCAGCTTCCGCTCCTGAGAAGGCAGAGGGAGAGACATGTGGATGGCTGGCACCTGGTGCCTTCTGCTCCACCTCAGAGTGCTGTGCTGGTCTGCGCATGGAGAGACCGACAGAAGTATGGCCCACACCTGGGCATGCACCCAGCCAGCTAAATACCAAGGCTATGAAAGTATACCTCGTAGGTAAGAACCCACCTTCCACAGTGCCACAATTTTAAAACACCACACCACCACCACCACCGGCAAAACCAGCACACTCAGATAGGAATGAGAAGGAAGGCAAGTCAACACAGAGTAGAAGAGAGAAGAAATTTTAAAATGAATATAAATGAGCACAGCGAGGGAGTAGGGGAGAAGGCGAAGGTGGACACTCACATGTTTTATAAAGAGCTGTGCCAGTCTGTCTTGGTCCTGGATACATTTTTCCAGTTCAGTCAGGAAAAAGCTAGAAGAAGAGAGAGGGGATAAGAGAAAGAATCAAAACCACAATGAGGTATCACCTAATCCTTGTCAGAATGGCTTTTATCAAAAAGAACAAAACAAACAGACAAACAAACAAGAATAACAAGTGGGCAGTGGAGAAAGGTAAACCCTTGTGCACTGCTGTTGGGAATGTCAACTAGACAGCCGCTGTGAGAACTGTATGAAGGTTCCTCAAAAATCTGAAAACAGTACTACCTTTCAACCCAGTAAGCCCACTAGTGAGTATATTTCCAGAGGATAGAAAATCAATCTGTTAGAGAGACATTTGCACATCTATTACACATTATTCATAATAACTAAGACATGGTATCAACCTTAGTGGTCAGTAACTGACAAATGGATAAAATAAATGTGGCACATATACCCCACAGAATACTATTCAGCCACCAGAACAATGAACTCATGTCATTTGATATACAATGGGTGAACCTAGATGATATAATGCTAAGAGAAATAACTCAGGCTATGAAAGTCAAACACTATATATTTCTACTTAAATGCTGAGAGTCATGACTCAGAAGCAGACATTAGAGGACCTGACAGCATGCAAATAGAGACAGCAATGGTAGATACCGGAAGCTAGACAGAGGTGGGGAGGAGTGATGGAAGAGTGCATATCAGTAAGGAGAGGAGGCTAGGTGCTATAGTTGAGTAGAAATGTTGCTGACAATTTTTTTTTTGGAGAGGGTTTTTTTTTTTTTTTCTTGCTATAGGGCATGTGCGCTTGCCAGCCAGACAGAGAGAGACAGAGAGACAGAAAGCGAGAAATCACACCCCAGGGGGGATGGCCACGATGCAATCCCTTCTCCTCCATTCTCTTCTTGGGATCTTGGGCATGTACACACATGTGCCCGGTGTGAGTTTAAGCCACTGGGTCCGGGACGCTAACCGTGGTCGACTATGTGGGAGTCCAGTGACATAGCCATTACGCTAACTGCTGGTCCCAGTTGCTGACAATTTAATATATACTTGCCAAAAAAACTGTCTAGTGAATTTCAAATGTACATAATATAATGTAACATTAAAGGTTAAAGGTGGCTAATATATCTTTGATTTGATTGCACAACGTATACATGCTTTAGGAAAACAACACTGGGGGCTAGCAGGTGGTGAGGTGGTTAAGGTGCTTAGAGTCTCACATGGCTTATTTATCATGCTTTGAGTCTTGGACCTGTCGTCTTGAAAATCATGACAGGCACATGTGTGTACATGCCCAGAGTCCCCAAGAGGAGAATGGAGAAGGGATTGTGACATGGCCATCTCCACTGGGTGTGATTTCTCATTTTCCCTCTCTCTGTCTCTTTCCGGCAAGCACAAGTGTCCTATGACAAAACAAACAAACAAACAAACAAAAAACAAAAAAACTCCACTGTACCCCACAAGGTATACAATTATATGTAAATCAGACATTACAGTAAAAACATAAACAATGAGTGAGAAAGAGAGTGAGAAAAGGAAGCTGCATCATTTGTATTTCTCAATGATAAGATAAATGACAGAGCACTCTCCCCCAAACCCTAACACTTAGATCAGATGCAGAAAGAGGACTCAGGTCCTGAGTTCTCAAGATACTCCCATTCTCAGGGCAGCATTAACACTTACTCCTTATGCCAGTCATAAATCTGGTGAATATTTCCAAACACGATTTTATCCTTCCCTCGCATATCCTCAGGGACGCCCTTCTCTTCTATTCTCTTCATAAAGCCCTGTGGCAGCAGAGGCAATGGTTAGTATTTTTACCAGAGTTTTGTGCAGATAGGCAACACTTTTATGAAGTTTCTGGGTCCCTTTCTTTGTCTTCAGTCCCCTTAAGAAAGCAGAACAAAGAAGAAAACAATAATTTTCCCCTCTCCCTTATCCCAATCCAAACTGATAATATCTTTAAAGGCTAAGAACCAGACACATCTAGCCAAGAAATAAGTCTTCATATATTAATACTTCAGACTTTGTACAATATGATTCCATATAATCTCATTTCAGCTTTAAAATCAGATTTTGAGGTTGTATAGGTAGCATTTATCCCCATCTGACAGACAGACACACCAAGCCACCTAGACGCTATATGACTTGTCTTCTAATCACACTGATCTCTGACTTTCCTGGGTTTCAGTCTCTTAGTCTCCAGATTCCCACGTCCTCTGCTTCTGGGCTGAGCTTCACATGCAAATTGCTGTTCTCTTTCTAGTCCCCACTCCCCCCATCCCCACCTGAAGATGAGAATAATTTTCATGCAATAGAAGTCAAGTCTTCTATATACCAGATTAGTATGTTTTTTGAAGGTTTGAGAAAAGCAAATACAAAGCCCTAAGTCAACGAATTGCATGGGATAAAGAGTTAGAGGCCAAAGACAAGGAACCAGCAGGCGATTTAGACATTAGACATTCCATTTTTAGACTTCATATTCTTTCTTTTAAGATGATTAGCAATGATGCTCTAAGCCATCTAAATTATCCATTTAATTTCTAAGACTTTTTTTCAACTAAGTATCTAAGTCCCTCTTAAGTGAACTCCTGTGGAGATAGAGCTATTTTATTTACTACTAAGTTGACTCTCCACTGTGGACCAGTCAATCTTGCTCGTGAGTGATATTTTTCTTTGTCTGTCTTCTTGGTAGCTCTAACACTCTTGCTAAAATCTAAGGAAATGCATAAGCCCCAAGATACCACTAAGAGCGACCAGCTTTGTGCCCATGGTGGTTCATAACTCTGAAAAATATATGCCCACATGGCTAAATGCCAAATTAAGACAATAACTTGGCCACATAAACCAAAGTGAAATAGATTCAGCTCTAACCAAGAGGTTCCTCCAAGTACTCTAACATTTGGGCTCTTATATCCCTCTAAATTCAAGGAGAAAAGGAAAAACATTGCCTACATATTTGGTTTATTACCATTTTAATTTTTTTTCTGCAAGTACTCAGACAGGGTAAAATACACAGATAGAGCCATCTGTGAAAACAACATGGCCTAGGTGGGGTTTACTATGCTCCTGGCTAGGTGACCACAGACTCACCTGAGCCATCTACTCACCTCCACCACAATCCCAAGGTCCTTGACATAGTCTTTCTCTGTCTGTACCAGCTCATTCAGGACAAACCTGAGCAGGAGATTAAGAACAATGAGGGATCCTCTTATGGTTAAGCAAGAAATTGGCACACTTAGGTTCACGGGTTCCTTTGGTACCTTTATGATAAGACTGAACACCCAGGAGGGTGATCACTGATGTTTTCTCTACAAAAGGGCCTCACTGAAGGGCTGAGCACACTGAGGCTAGAGAGGGCTTTCTCCAGATGACACATAACAGTCGCACAAAGAACACTCATCAGCCAGCGTTTTCTTTCCATACTATATGCATCTTTCTCCTCCCTCAGAACTGGACAATTGTATAGACATGCACGAGTCAGACGGAATGACAACCACACTGGCAAAACCGAGTTATAGAAACTTTGACGCTGAAACCAGCAGATGATGTAATGGTTATATATGTCCAACCACAGTTTGAGTCCTGGATCCAGTGGCTTGAAACTCACATTAGGTGTATGTGCATGGATGCCCAAAATCCTGAGAGGAGAAGAGATTGTGGTGTGGCCATCTCCCTGGGTGTGTGTGTTTGTGTGTGTTTGTGTGTGATTTCTCACTTTCTGTCTCTCTGTCTCTCCAGCTTGCACACACACCCTATAGCAAAAAATCTCTCTAAACAAAACAAAACAAAACAAAACTTTGAGGCCAGGGGATCAACATGAGACTTTTATTCTTTCATTTTAGCTCTATTCCTCACTTAACAAGAGTAGAAAGACATTTGTTTGATAACCAACCTTTAAGGCCTTAGGGACATGGATATCAACTGAAGCTTTCAAGATACAGAAGCTACAATTAGTCAGATAGGTATCCATGGTAACTGACCTAGAAAATCCCCAGACAAGGCCAGAAGGACTGATTGCAGACATTCCATAATCACAACTTTGAATGTAATATTCTCTGCCCAGGACGCAGGATTTAACAACTACAAGGTTATTCGCTTTCACGGTTTTTCACTGTTAATTATTTCTATCTCTTAGAGCAATTCCAAATATGCCAGTTACTTTATTTGCATGTTTCCATGCTTATAACAAGGTATTATAACATCCTTTTCTATCTAAAGGAAAGTACTCAGACAGAAAGGTTAGGTAACTTGCCTATGTTACCTAAAGTAAGTAGTAGAGTTGGGATTTGAACCCAGTTGTATGAGTTCAAGGACTGTGTTCTTTAGCCATAGCCTATGGCCTGGTAAACTACTCAGACTGGCTCTCTGGAGCCCCTGAAGCCTCAATGCAAACACTACTTTTCCTTTCTTCTGTACAGTCATAAAAGAGTTATCCCCAAATGCTGACTGCTGTGCACGTGGGCAGGCTGAATGCTGCACAACCTACTGGAGTCTAGTCTTACGATCTAATTGGAGACTATTCTGCTTGGAGTCACACAACTGCATTTTTGGCTTAAGTAGCAGAAGGGACAAAGCTCTGAGATGTCAAAAGGGGCCCTAGCACAAGGGTTGAACCCAGGAAGTAATTTATCTGAAATTCTCATTCTGTACAGCACTGAGAAGCCACCAACACCCCGGGGTCTGGGCCCTCAGGGCAATGGAGAGGAAACAAAGGAACACATGCTTCTTTATCAGCATGCCCAGCACTTCCAACCATCTCCCTCTCTTACACACAGGCAATCATGTGTTTTAGGCCACAGGAAGGAACTGGCAAGGCCAAATAAAAGCATTTAAATATATCTTTAGCATGGCCCAAGATACTGCTTCTAAACCCACAGGCAAATTAGAGTGGGAACTTGGGGCTGGTAGAGCCCTCTGTAGATGAGGTCCTGCTCTAGGTCTCTAGGTGATATTTTTATGCTATGTTGACTTATGGGGTTGTCTCAGGGTTTTTAGCCTCTAGAGAAGAAAATGTACTAGCGGACCTAGCCTCTGGTGGAGTAGCTGGGGAGATCATGATGCATGAAAAGACATTCTGAAAAGTTACATAAACGATTTAAATTATATGCACCACAAGGTACTACATGATTGCAAATAAATTGAATTGAAAATAAAATTCATGTTAATGAACAAGAATCTATTCTTATAGTAAAGGTTATTTACAAATAAATGTTATTCTTTGGTCCAGCTAATATTCTTCCAGTCATAGATTAGACTCCCTTTGACCTCTTTTACAATGGTTGGGATGGCTGGTCTTTCACAGAAAATCCCTTAGAGCCTTGGCATTGGCTGTTCCCTCTCTCAAAAACGTAGCTCAACCAGAGCAGGAATTGAGTAAGAAAAAGTGAAGGGGTCCTCCCTGTTGTTAATTAGCCCAACTTTCTCCCTCACTCTTGCCAGTCTTTTAACTGGGTCACAGACATGAAAATTAGCAAAAAGAAGTGAGGGTAGGTCCTTCCATTGCCTGGAAAGTGAACATTTATGACCTTGTTTCTGAGAAAACCAAAGTAGAAACATCATAGTGGGGGTCTGGCCTAAAATCAAGGCCTTTTTGTGGAGGTGAATAAGTGCCAAGTAAATGCTATAATTCCATATTTACCCCCTGAAGTTCATCAGTGCTCAGGGGGACCCCAAAAAGTTGGTGAACGGAATAGAAGTTGAGAAATAGTATCCCAAAGGGATATTTCCTAAAACTTGCATAAACTGATTCTTCTTAGCTTTTCAGGTTGTTACACTGGGGAGGCTGTTAGAGCTGATGTTCCAATCCCTTGGCAAGCTGAAACAAAACTTACAGCAGGGAGGTGACCTTTGAAATGGTCCTTAGCAAAGCCGGTCACTTCTCTTGTCACCTGGGTTAAGCAGGATTATAGGCAGTCATTTAGCCACTATCCACACATGACGTTATCTGATTTTGCTACAACAGTAACAGAAGTTTGCTGCCTCTTTTACCAACTTTACCCATCTCTTCTCATCTCATTCTCACCCAGCTATACACCACTGCACACCCGAGCAATCCTAAAATTGCAATTGTTAGCATGCTTTTCTCTTATTGTCTATTGTCCTTATTCTATCCTGCTGTTCTCTATGACCATGATGAGAGGATTTTTAAAAAGAATTATTTTATATAACTTTATTTGTTTACTTACTTATTTTAATTTGACCAGAGAGGGACAAAGTGAGTGGGGGAGGAGTGAGAAAGCAAGCCACCAGATCTGGGACTTGAAGCACAGTTGGCCATGTGGGAGTCCAGCACCCTTAACTACCATGCCACCTGCTTGTCCCAAAAGAGAGGATTCGTAGATGATTAATTATGAACTATACATGAGGCTAGAGGCTGAGCGGTATTGGAAATGGCAATAGGACATCAAAGAGTTAAATTAGAGTCCCTTGAAGAAAACATGAAAACAAATCTTCATTTGAGCTGTGGTCAGGGCTCACTAGGTACTCTGTTTCCTAAATGAGAAAACTAGAGTATTAGAGGGGTTATGATTTTGTATTACTGGTATTGGTTTTTCTTTGAACATCTCAGATAATATAAGATTAACTTCCCATCAAGATAGATGATACTAACTTGCATAACATTTGGCTTTTGTGGAATAAACTACAATGTAAGCTGTATTTTTCACTAACCATCCAAAACGGGAAGGAGGCTGTCTTGGAACTAAAACCATGAATAGAAGCAAAATGAAAGCCTTGGGAGAAGGCGCAGAGATAGGACTTGCCTGGTGATACAATAGCTCCTTCTTCCTAGTCATCGCTTTCCTGGATTTGGGGAAATAGGTCCTTGGGTGACCTCTGTGTGACTTTCTGCGATGGTTAGGGATTCTCTGCTTCTACAGATTTCCAAACTTTGTTGTTTTCTTTTTTATTTCCCAAACTTTGTTGTTTTCCATTGAGCATCATATTTTAAATTTTTATCAGACCTTGGTTATAACCACACTTTGTCAATAATGGTTGCAATCTCACAGAGTACACGTCAGTCTAAATTTCTTCAAGTCAAAGCAGCTCACTATTTCTTGACACAACACTACAGCTCTGGGTTACCTTTACTGTGGATGGTATCCATGGGAACAGAGGGGAATCCTTTCCTGATTGTTCCCCAAATGTCCCCCACCCTTTGGCCATTGTCCACTGCACACAGGGATGCATCAGGGTGGATTCTGGGGAAGCCACTTACATCCTGCCCCTTAGAGCTTTGGCTTTCTGCTCTTCTTCCAGGTTTCTTTGCGGTGTGGGCGGGGTCATCCCCTCATTCAGGCAGCCTGCGGGATCTTTCAAGCTCGGCCGGTAGGAGCCTCCTTCTAGACTCTGAAAAGAGAGTAAGAACCTTAGAAAATGGACACTGAGAAGTCATTCGAAGTCCTATCCTCCCTCACTCCACATCTAGCCGTAGCCACGTTGAAAAATCTATAGGAAAGCTGTTCTTCTGGAGCCGCAGTGAAACACCAAGAGACGGGAGACTGCCATCCTCCTGCAGCAGGGACAACCAGGACGTACTCTGTACCTGTGTGCTGCAATTTCCTCTACGTGATCAAACTGTCCAAGCAACTTATCTCTGGGTTAGAGCCCCAGAGGTAGAGCCAACCACTGCAATTCTATACCACATAAGCAGTTCGGAAAGAAAATCAAATGCAAATTCCTAAGAGGAGGGTAGCGATAGGAGAAAAGTTTAGTAAAATCACATTTTGTTACCTCAGCTACAGTTTTTTTGAAGAAGCCAATGAGAGGCAGATAAGAAGGCATCAGTAGATTTAGCCACTTCTAAAAACATCATTTCTAAGGTGATTTACCAAGGGCTTTCTTTCATTTCCTACTTCTTTTCATTTCTTTTAATTGAGGTGCTACAGAATTGAGAAAACAAGTTCTAATATTAATAACTTATTCAGTGGATATAAAGGTAAAAAATCTAAATTTGAATCCAAGATCTGCTAGTCACTGGGTGATCCTATACAAGACAGCTAAATTCTTCTTTGCTTCATTTTTTTTTCAAATTTTAAATCAAGTCTCCTCCTCTATAGAGTTTTAAGGACTAGACAGAGACAAAAACTAAATAAAAATATTCTACAATAGTGAGGTTCTTTCATTGTGCCCAAGGATGAAGTCGTTAACAATAAGGATAATCAAAAGACCTCAATCAGAACTTTTATTTTATTTTTTTTTAGGTTTTTGCCATAGGGCATGTGTATTTGCTGGAGAAAGACAGAGAGAGACAGAGAAAGGGAAAGTGAGAAATCACCCCGAGGGAATGGCCACGCCACAGCCTCCTTTCCTCTATTCTCCTCTCAGATTTTGGACACTCACACACATACCCAGCATGATTTTAAAGCCATGAGGTCGGGGACTCAAGCCACAGTCAGCCATGTGGGAATCCACTGCCTTAACCACCAAGCCCCCATTGGCTCCAATCAAAACATTAAAAATATATTTATTTATTTATTTTATTTTAATTTGAACAGAGAGAGACAGAGAGAGATTTTAAAGCCAACTGCCAGGTCTGGGTGGTCAATCATGTGGCAGTCCAGTGCATTAACCACCATGCCATCTGCTGGCCTCCAATCGTGACATCTTTACAACTGCTCTAGAAGGACCACTCTGTGCCACTTCGCATGTCATGATGAAACTGGTAGAAGCAATGTGGACAAACAAGATCAAGGTCAAGGTGGGCAACTGCGAAACAAATGTGGGAGACTAATCTAAATTATTCTTACAAAACCCTTATTTATGCCAGCTGCTGTGGCTAGCAGGAACAATTTTATTTACTAGTCTTTGACAACATTAGCCCTAACATTTAAAGTCACAAAGATCAAAAAATACCATCCAAAAAGGTAGTGAGAACCAAAGGTTCCAGTCTGGTCCTAGTACTTGGAGTGTCTTTCTCAAACTGTCTTAACTGCTGTATTTTTACACAGGCTTAATACAGGTAGAAAAGCAACGTCTAGGGAAATGAAAGAGAAAGTGTCCAGGGAAATGGAAAAAAAAAATGCTGAATGGAGGCAAGGACTCTGATGGCCATTATCTTAGAAAAGATGGAGAATATATATATTTTTCTTTTTTTGGACATGCTTTTGCTATAGGGCATGTGTGCTCACCAGAAAGACAGAGAGAGACAGAGAGATAGAAAACACGAAATCACCCCCCAGGCAGGATGGCCATGCCACAATCCCTTCTCTTCCATTCTCTTCTTGGGATCCTGGGCATGCATGCACACACGCCTGGTGTGAGTCTAAGCTGCCGGGTCCAGGACTCGAACCGCGGTCGACCACATGGGAGTCCAGCGACATAGCAATTACACTAACTGCTGGTCCCAAGATGGAGAAAATTAAGACTTAAATCTGAAAAAGTTAATGCTTCTCAGCGTGAAGGGAGAGATACCAACCTTGATCCCCCCCATTCTCACATCCAAATTGACAAAATGTGCCAAGTGCCATGCCTGAATTTGTTCCCAATAACAGAAACTCTTTAGAATGAAGAGGACAGGGTCTTTCAAGCTTGAGAGAGAGAATTTCTTTTGATTTGACAGAAATATTGTTTACGGAACAAATAATCAATCATGGAAGTTGTTATGTTCAGAGCAACAGTATAGGCTAAAAATATAGAAAGGTCAAGAAGGGTTTGGCTAAATTTATAGAAACAGGCTCTGTAAACGTGTTATTAAGGAAATGAGAGTGTCTGGCACTGAGACTTGACAAGCCAGCAGACAGGCAGGCTTTCCAATGACATGTCCCCTGGTGCCATCACAGAGACAGGCTTCCCTGGCAGACAGACCTAGCTGGTGATTGATTTGATTATGTGCCTCTTACTTGCCCTCCCCCTCTGCCCATTGTCCTGTGACAGCCTTGTTCTGCAGCTGTTGCCTGGTGGAATAGTGACTGCAAGGCTCGGGAAACAGGAGTGTAACTGTGCCTTCGAGGTGCCTCCATGGAACATCCAGCTTGGCATAATCCACTTTCAACCCCTCTACAGAATGAAGGACACCTGAGGAGTCCAAAGTGTTAACAGGGAAATACATTCGGTTCCCTCTCACCTAACCTGTCCTGTGAGCAAAGAAGTCCCAGGTATCTCTGGGGAGGAGTCTCTGAGATGAAGCTGAGAAGGACTGGGGTCATGAGAGAGGAAAAAGAGGGAAATAAAGGACTTGGGGGCCGGCCAGTGGCATGGTGGTGAAGGCAGCTAGATCCCAGTGACCAAATGTGTGGTTCAAGCCCAGACCTGGAGGCCTGAAAAACACACTGTCTCTCTTTCTCTCTGTCTCTCTCTCTCTGGTGAACACATGTACCCTGTAGCAAAGATTAAAGACAAGAAAAAGATTTAATAAGCTATATGCTGGGTAATCTGCCTCAAACAAGGGGGTTGGCTATAAATGAATATAGAATTCAAGAAAGACTCCCTCTGAAGACCCAGCTACCTGTGCCACAGTTCTCCAGTTGGGCCCCTGTGTCCCAGCCAAGGTCAACTAGTGCTTCCTGGAGTTGTGCTGCTCCTGGGAGAAAACAGGAAGTTTTCGGTGAGGACTTCAGCCCCACCTAGGCCTCGGGGCCACAATAGTCTAATAGTCTAAGGAAGATGTACATGAGATATATGAAGTTTGTGTAGTTGGTCCAAGATCAGGGAGCAGACATGCAAATGGAATTCAAATAGGTGACTAAGTCCAGAGGAAGGCCATCCCTGTTTAAAAAGAACACATTAAAAAGCAGGGTCTTGGGGGGCTAGCAGATGGTGTGGTGGTTACATTGCTGGACTTCCACATGGCCGACCACAGTTTGAGTCCCACACCCAGTGGCTTGAAATATCATGCCAGGTACCTGTGTGTGCATGCCCAAGATCCTGGGAGGAGACTGCAGGAGAAGGGATTGTAGCATGGACATCCTCCCTGGCTGGGTGGGACTTCTCACTTTCCTTCTCACTGTCTCTCTCTCTCTCTCTCTAGCAAGTGCATACAGCCTAAGGCAAAAACCTCTTAAAAAAAGGGAAAAAGCAGGGTCTTGGGCCAGCAAGTGACCAAAAAGTTAAGGTGGCTAGTTCCCATATCGTAGACTTCACAGTTTGAGTTCTGCACCCAGCAGCTTGAAAATCATACCCAGTATGTGTGCATGCATGCTCAAAATCTTGAGAAGAGAATAGAAGAGAAGAGATTGCAGCGTGGCCATCGCCTCTCCCTGAGGGGAGGGGTGATTTCACTTTCTCTCTCTCTGTATCTCCTAATCTTTTTCTGGTGAGTGCTCTTTAAAGCAAAAATCTAAAGAAAAAAAAAGTAAAAAAGAAGCAGGGCCTTAACCTTCTAAGTAAGATCAATGAAGGGACATTTTTAAGCAGGGAAAGACCATGTTTGAAATTAATTTTTACAATTTAAATTTTACAAAGCTCTTTAATGTTCTAAGGAGCTTTTTATAATTTGGGAAAATGTCACTGATAGTAAAGGAAAACAGAACTTAAACTTTAAATATTCTATGAGTAATTATGAGGGTTTAAGAGAATATACTAGAGTTTCAATATCAATATGTCTAGGTAATGTTATTACCTTTCCCATTTTCCTAATTGTTTTGGAATGAACATACATTGCTTTTTTTAAAGAGATTTTTGCTATTGGGCACGAGCACTCACAAGAGAGAAAGATAGGGGGACCAGCAGGTGGCGTGGAGGTTAAGGCGCCGGACACTCCCACATGGCCAACCATGGTTCGAGTCCTGGACCTGGTGGCTGGCTTTCTCATTTTCCCTCTTCCTCTCTGTGTCTCTCTCTGGTCAAATTAAAAAAAAAAAGAGAGAGAGAGAGAGAGAGAGAGAGAGAGAAAGATAGAAAGCGAGAAATCACCCTCCTCCTGGGTGGGGGCATGGCCACATTGCAATCCCTTCTCCTCCATTCTCCTCTTGGGATTTTGGGCACCCATGCATGGGCACCAGTGGCACACATTGCTTTTATTAGTCAAAAAAGAACTAAAAAAGCTCTTTTAAAAAAGAAAAGAAAGCGCTTCTGGAAATCATGAGGAGCATGTTGGACTGGAATCTGGAGGAAATGGTTGCCAGTAGTTCAGGCTGAACAGGATTTTGAGCATTAACCTTACATTGTGAGCTCCACCCAAGGAAGGTTTTGTGCTTCACTAGTGTCTAGTGGGATGCTGGGAGTTCATTGAGTATGTCATGGAACTTTTTTTTTTTTTTAAGAATTATTTATTTATTTATTTCCATTTGTTATTGTTATTTTTTTTTATTTGGAGAGAGAGAGAGAGAGAGAGAGAGAGAGAGAAAGAAAGTGAGAAAGCAAGCCACCAGGTTCGGGACTTGAACCATGGTTGGCCATGTGGGAATCCA